CAGTGAGGATTGGTGATCTTGCTTTTGCCAAATCGACCCAATACAAGCTAACCTGACTCCGCTTTTACCCACAGAAAACAAACATAACAAAATCATTTAAAAACCTTGTTGAAATATGCAAAAAGTTTTATGAATATCCTGAGGTCTTGGATGTTTACCGAAAAACTTACTCGACAAGGTATCCTTGGATTGCAAGAGGCGGGTTGAATAGCATAGCAAAATGGTACCATAACCCTTTTCCCTATTCTCGGGCTTCTTCACTTATTTTGTCTCCTCCAAACTTCTATCTAAAAAAGCCAAGTGTTGATAAGATAATAGAAAGGTTTAGAATCTGTTTGTGAGCTCCGGCCACCTTGCCGGTCTCATCTGTTTCACTCTCATTCCTTAATTCTAGTTTTGAAAAAGCTGTGTAACCATTAGTAGTTTCTGTGGTAATTTTAGTGTAATTCCCCTCAACTGGCAACAGAAATTGCTGGTTTTAAAAGGTGCAGGTGCTTGGGGTTGATTTTCTTTAACGTCCTCCTGGGGCCCCAGCCCCGATACAGCTGGATTCTGACGAAGGGACTGTTAAAACAACACCCTCGCTTTAGAAGCCTCTCGTCCCCTTTTGAGAAACGGTGAATGCGATGACTCAGTGCTTACCAAGTGCTCCCAACTATGAAGTTAAAGCTTAAATTAAACAATAATTATCAATTTAAACTGCAAGTTTATCTACTACTTATCACCCTTCATGTATGTCCTTTCTCACCTTTAACATTCCCCCCAAATGGTCAAAAGAGATGTTTTTAAAATTGCATGTTCATTTATCCTCTATCGCACTACCGCTAATGCCCCATTGAGGTTTCCACGGTTTTGTCATTAGAAGCTGAAGGCACCTACCTTTCCTGAGCCCTTTTAGAAAAGAGAAATAAAATACCCACAAACATTTCCATTTTAGTTTTTGGAAAACTGTTCCTGTTTTGTATCAAGGGGAAACTTGATGTTTGCTATTCAATATAAGTTTCCTTGAAGGAAGGACTCCAAGCCTCTAGTATCCGACCGTTTCCCCCGTCTGGCTAATAGCACAACACCTGGGTGCGCAGACGGCTGGCAATGACTCCGGGGCGAGACTCCCTGTCAACTGTCGGGGTCCCTGAGATGTCAAGCAAGGCTTGGGGACCACACGAGTGAAAGCCGAAATCCCTCCATCTCCTCACCGGGTGTTGGAGCCGTGCGTCCGAGGAGTGAGGGTTGTGGAATCCAGTCACATCCAACAAGGAAGCTGGGCTTCAGTTTCCGGGCTGGCGACAACTTCTTGGAAGGCAGAGTGTGCCGTGAGCTAGCAAAACGTCACGGTGCGGATCCCCAAACAGCCTCTCTTTGATTTGGTTTAGGGCAAATCTTTAGCGGATCCCGCAGCGGGGGGCACAATTCCCACCTTGCTTTCCTCGGGCCCGGCTCTCTTTTCCTGCCTCAGCCTCCCTAGTAGCTGAGACTACAGTTGCATGCCAGAACACCCGGCTAAATTTTCTATTTTTAGTAGAGACAGGGTCTAGCTTTTGCTCAGGCTAGTCTGACCTCCTGAGCTCAAGCAATCCTCTTACCTCAGCCTCCCTGAGTGCTAGGATGACAGGCGTGAGCCACTGTACCTGGCTATAGCTGGTGACTTTAAGTTGAAGCCAACTACCCATGGCCTTCTCATTTAAAGATTTTGTTTTGTTTTGTTTTAAGCACCACAGAAGGCAAGAAAAGCTTCGTCTTTCTCTGCTGCACCCTTTCTAACAAAAGGATTTGTTCTGCAAAATTTGGATTTAGTAAAAAAGCTTCACTTAAGTACCTAGAAGGCCACATGTGGCCTTAAAGCCACACGTTCTCCACCCCTAGGAATTGCGCTAAATCTACACTGCGTGTGGTCCGTAAGTGGAACAACAAAGCCCGGATGACAGCACGTCTGTTCACAGCATGGTTTACTGAATATTTTAAGTCCACTGTTGAGACCTACTACACAGAAAAAAAGATTCCTTTCAAAATATTACTGTTCATCAACAATGCACCTGGTCACCCAAGAACTCTGATGGAGATGTTCAAGGAGATCCGTGTTTTCATGCCGGCTAACACATGCTAACATCCATTCTGCAGCCCATGGATCAAGGAGTCATTTCAATTTTCAAGCCTTGTTATTTAGGGAATGCATTCCATAAGGCTGTTGCTGCCATAGATAACGATTCCTCTGATGGGTCTGGGCAAAGTAAATTGAAAACCTTCTGGAAAGGATTCACCATTCTAGATGCCACTGAGAACATCTGTGATTCACAGAAGGTCAAAATATCAACAGGAACAGGAGTTTGAAAGAAGTTGATTCCAACCCTCCTGTTTGGTTCAAGTTGCTTCTTATGGATAAGAAAGGAAAGAAAGTGCTTTCTTGAGATGGAATCTACTCCTGGTGAAGATGCCATGAACACTGTTGAAATGACAACAAAGGATTTAGAACATTGCATAAACCTAGTTGATAAAGCAGCAGCAGGGTTTGAGAAGATTAACTGCAATTTTGAAAGAAGTTCTAATATCACACAGCATCTCGTGTTACAGAGAAATCTTTCCTGAAAGGAAGAGTCAACTGATGCAGCCAACTTCACTGTTGTCTTCTTTTAAGCAATTGTCTCGGCTGCCACAAGCCCCAACTACCACCACCCTGATGAGTCGGCGGCCATCCACAGCAAGGCAAGACCTTCCACCAGCAAAGACATTGCCACTCCCTGAAGGCTAGATACATGTTAGAACTTTTTAGCAATAAAATGTTTCCTAATTAAGATATGTACTTTCTTTTTAGATATAATGCTATTGCACACCTAATAGACTACAGTATAGCATAAACCTAATTTTTATATGCACTGGGGAACAAAAATAACTTGTGTGACTCACTTTATTGTCATGGAATGGAACCAAGCCGACAATATTGCCAAGGCATGCCTGGATGTCTGTACCCATTATGCATCTGGCAGTGGGGAAATGACCACAGACTGGGATCAGGGCGCACTGGGCCAACTTCTATGGCTCCATCCCTGCTTTTTCTGTGGATAATCTGGTCCCTCTCAAATGCCCGCCATATATATTTCTGGGAATCCACATGGAGCCCTTCACGTGTACTCCTGCAACCACATGGCCAATTTCCTTTGCTCTGTTCTGTGCTCCGGATGAGCTGTGCTGCTCAGCTCTGGCCATCATGCTTCCACCAACGGAGGCTGTGGGTCCCTAGAGGCTGCTACTGTCTATGCTGACGGCCAGGAGTGCCACCGTTGTTCATAGCTGCAAATGTGACACAGCTTACAATCTCAGAGTCTGTCCCCTAGAGACATTAGTGAACAGCTCCTTTAAATTTTGCTGACGGGGGGTGGCTGAGTCTCAGACAAAAGTGTGCTCACCCTCACCTTTCCCCTGCCCTGGCGTCCGTACTCCACCAGCGAAATATTTGCACCTCGACCCTTTCCATCCTCATATGAATTCTTTCTCAAGAAGGCTCTTGTGTGTTTGAACCTACCAGTTAGCTAGACCTGTCCTACTCAAAATGTGGTTTTTTGCACCCTGTTTAACAAGATAAACACAAAAATTGTAGTGCATAAAAACAGCATTTGACATAGTCGCTTTATGTCTGTTGAATCTAATAAACAATTGGGATTGTAATATTTGTATTTTTCGCTTAATTTTTCTAATAATTTATTTTTAGTGAATTTTACAAAATCCCAGTCTGTGATAGATCAGAAATGGAAAGGAAGAAAAAAAAGAAGAAAAAAGAAAGAGAAAGAAAGAAGAAAGAAAGAAAGAAAAAGAAAGAAAGAAAGAAAGAAAGAAAGAAAGAAAGAAAGAGAGAGAGAGAGAAAGAGAGAGAGAAAAGAAAGAAAAAGAAGAAAGAAAGAAAGAAAGAGAAAGAAAGAAGAAAGAAAGAAAGAGAAAGAAGAAAGAAAGAAGAAAGAAAGAAAGAAAGAAAGAAAGAAAGAGAGAAGAAGAGAGGGAGAAAAGAAAGAAAGAAAGAAAGAAAGAAAGAAAGAAAGAAAGAAAGAAAGAAAGAAAGAAAGAAAGAAAGAAAGAAAGAAAGAAAGAAAGAAAGAAAGAAGAAAGAAAATCTGGTTCTTTGCCGTAGATGGTTTGAGAAACTGTGCCCCACGTCACGGGCAGGCAGCCCGGACCGACCGAGGGCAGCGTGGCTGCAGCCTGGCACCCGCCGCGGAGTGTGCTTGGCCAGGAAGAACTTGCTGGAAGCACAGGCTTGCTGCAGTGGGGCGGAAGCAGTGGGGGAGGGAAGCAGCACTAACGTTTCCGTGTAAGAGTTCTCTAGCTCTCCGCCTAGCAGGGACACAGCGCCGTAAGTCGGGGACTGTCTGTGTCAGCCTCCCCTCCATGGGGTGACTCCACTGGTCCCCACGGAAGTCTGAGAGTAACCGCCGGCACTCTGGCCGGGCCTCACGAGGTGCTTCCTTTAGGATGTCAGCACGTCCTCTGAGCAGAAGGGCCTGCCGCAGGCCCTCCACTCTCTCCTCTCCCACATGCCCCACTCCGATCTGCCTTGGCACAAACATGCTATTTGTGGACCTGGAGAAATAGCTGAGCGCCCCTCCCCAGGCTCCGCTCAGAAGGTGGGTCACTTTGTCACAGGACAGCTGGGGCGAAGCATCTAGCCCAGGGCTAATTACACAGTGGGTCCATGTGAGCTCACCCTTTCCACACCAAAACTCCAACGAATGGTTCTATCCCTTGCTGAAGCCCGTTCCCATCATACAACGTTGTGTGCCTGTCTTGCAATAATTATCTTATTTACTTCTCTACATTGTCATAGATGTGTTTATTGTTTTTTCCATGTTCAACTAAGGACTCCTTGAGATTGGGACTATTTATTCAACTTCCAATCCTTTGTGGCCTATAGTCTAACTAAAGTGGATTCTCTATTGCTATTTATAATATTAATCAGTTGTGTTTCTTTTAAATGACAAATATTAAAAATATATTTTAATAGCAAAATAGTACATACACAGCAAAATCATATGCCTTTTAATAAACAAAACCAAAGAATATAAATAAACATGTTTTACAAAAAGTAAAAACAATAGTACCTACACAAAAAAACACCGCTGTTTCTAAGAAAACAAAACATAAAACCATACATCTCAGTGAGGATTTGTGACTCCTTGCTTTGCAAACTCGACACAATACAGCTAACCTGACATCTGCTTTACCCCATAGAATACAAACATAACAAAATACATTAAAAACCTTGTTGAAATATGCAAAAAGTTTATGAAATGTCTGAGTCTTGGATGTTTACCAGAAGAAACTTACTGAACAAGGTATCCCTTTGGATTGCAAGAGCGGTTGATAGCATAGCATTGTACCATAACCTTTCTATTCTCGGGCTCTTCATTCATTTTTGTCTCCCTCCAAACTTCTATCTAAAAAAGCAGTGTTGATAAGGATAATAGAAAGGGTTAGAATCTGTTTGTGAGCTCCGGGCATCTGCGTCTCATTCCCCTGTTTCAGCTCTCATTCCCCTTATTCTAGTTTGAAAAAGCTGTGTAACACATTAGTAGGTATTTCGTGTAGATTTAGTGTAATTCCCTCAACTGGCAACAGAAATTGCTGTTTAATAAGGTGCAGGGTGCTTGGGTGATTCTTACGTCTCCTGGGCCAGCCCGAAACAGCTGATTCTGACGAAGGGACTGTTAAAACACACTCTCCTTTAGAAGCCTCTCGGTCCTTTTGGAGAAACGGTGAATGGAGATGACTCAGTGCTTACAAGTGCTCCATTATGATTACTACAATAACAATAATTATCATTAAACTGCAAGTTATCTACTACTTTATCACCCTTCAATGTATGTCTTCTCACTCTTTAAAACATTTCCCCCAAATGGTCAAAAGAGATGTTTTTAAAATTACATGTTCATTTATCTCTATCGCACTACCTAATTGCCCATTGAGTTCTCACGGTTGTGTCATTAGAAGTGAAGGGCCCGCTACCTTTCTGAGCCTTTTAGAAAGAGAAAATAAATACCACAAACATTTTCCATTTTAGTTTTGGAAACTGTTTCTGCTTTTTGTATCAAGGGGGAAATCTTTGATGTTTGCTATCTCAATATAATTTCTGAGGAAGGACTCCAAGCCTCTAAGTATCCGACCGTTTCCCTCCTGGCTAATAGCACAGCCTGGGTGTCGCACGGGCTGGCATGACTCGGGGCGAGACTCCTGTCAACTGTGGGTCCCCTGATGTCAACAGGCTTGGGGACCACACTGAGTGAAAGCGAAATCCCTCCATCTCACGCCGTGCGCTCCGAGAGTGGGTGTGATCAGTCACATCACAAGGACGAGGGCTTCAGTCTCTCGGTGGGGACAACTTCTTGGAAGGGCAGAGTGTGCCGTGAGCTAGCAAAAGTCACGTGCGGATCCCAAACAGCCTCTGCTTTTGATTTGTTTTTAGGGCAAAATCTTCAGCGGATCGCAGCGTGGGGCGTTCCACCTTGCTCCTGGGCCAGGTGGAGCTCGCCGAGAAAGTTCTACTTAAAGATGAAGGAGTGAGATCGGATGGTGCCTTCCCTTTGGTTGAGCTGCTTTCTTATTTGTGACTGTAATAAAACACACACACGTGTATCTATTATTGCGTGATTTTAAGATAATGAACTCTGGCTTTTAACAAATGAAAAATAAGACATATTGATTAGTAAGGAAGATGTGCAACTATAAATTAATTATTAATATCATATGCCCCCCACCACGTTTCTAATCTTATTTTCTGTATTTTTCTCAGAACACATATTGTAAAGTGATTGCTAAAACATGTAGAAATTGGGAATTGCCCTAATATTTGTAGTAAAACATAAAATACAATACTATTCAATGACTCAAAGGAAGATATAGAACTGAAATTATTGATATGGAAAGATGTTCATAATATAGTGTTAAATAGAATGAGTAAAGAACACTAGAGAAGAATTAAATTTTGTGTTTAAATGTTTACACACAAGGAGAAATTTAAAAGTATGTACATTTTATATATTTTTATAATGATTTATAATGACTTGGACAACTACAAAATAGAAAGAATAAAAAATTAATTCATATCTGAGCAAAGGTTTCATATGGCAAAGTGTCTCCACACTAAATATCAAATACATTGGAAAATTTTCAAAATGAGTAGTATATTTATTTAAATTTCAAACCGAAAAGATAAACAGAAGCAAAAGTCCAGAAAGGAAATTTCTTTTACAAAAAATAATTAGGAAAAATGTTTTTTGAAAACGACAAGGGATTCAAGATGGTATTTCCAGGAAATTTTAGTAATCTGTAAGGATAAGTTCTTGGCTAATAACTTACTAACCAGCAAACACATGCAGAAAATGTATGAGACTGGTAAATTTTATTAGCATTTATTTTGTATTCCCCTGGGAAGTGTTTAGAAAGCAGATAAAATAAGCCACCTTTTTATACTTGACCTACACATAGTGATGCACTGGAAACTTAGCTAAGTTCCTCTGACAAGCTTCCTTCTGTGACCATTTAAAAGACTTCTCAACTGGAGAAATATGATAACATTCCTCTGTGAGACCTTGTAGTCCCAAATGTCCTAACCCAGACAAAACTGGGCTAACCTGCACCCCTTGAGGGTTGACCGGGGCGCCTGGCTAAGGCTGAGACAAGAATACAGCTCCATTCTTTCTCTTCTCCAGCCCTGTCTTTATCTCTTCCCATGTCCTGGAAGAATGAACAGACTATTCCACAAGCCTGCAAGTAGACATCCTGTGATTCTTGGAGACAGTCTGACTCTTTCAACAGAAATATATTTGAAATCATCAACATGTTATTTCTCAGGCATCTGAAGACTTTTATAACTCACCAATTTCCAGCGTAATATCTTGATCCATTCATCAGCTTCTACTCCTGTCTTTGCACAGAGATAAAATGTCCTGAATGGAAATACTAAGCTGGTAAGATAAAAGAAAGAACATAAGATACTCCAGATGGTTAGTTGTATGCATATATATATATGCATAAAAAATAAATTCATATATGCATATATATACATACATATATATATATGTATATATATCTATATTTCTAAAGCACCTGAACCTGTTTGGAAATGAGAATTCACCCAGTATACACACATAAATGTATATACACACATATGCATATATATATATGCATAAAAAATAAATTCATATATGCATATATATACATACATATATATATATGTATATATATATATATATATATCAGTTGAACACTAATTAGAATATTCCAAGGGAAAAAGAGTTGATAAAGAGCCCAGATGAGTAACTTGGAGGATTGGTATATATGGAACTAGTCCTGCCAGCAAACTGAGGAAGTTGCAGCTACATATTATCATTACGGGCCAGATCCTATACTCTAATGAGACCTCAAAGAAGAAAGAAACATATCTAGGATACCCCCCGATCCTCCTGTTGTTCCTGTCTTACATGTTTATCCAGCTAGCCTCTCAAGTGATTCAGAACCTGCACTATCATTCAAAGAGTAAGCAAGATCAGAGAGTTTGCTAAAAGAACTCATTTGTGCAGTTTGCTTCAATGCCTTCTATGGACGCAGGCAGTCTCAACTAGCTAGGACAGGAAAAAGGGGCAGTACGACTTCTCAACTAGTTATTTTTCCCATCTCTTGCCCAAGAGCTATTGTCTGCTGGAGGGAAGACGAACTTCCTATTGGCATGAAAGACTTTCCCTAGGTGTATATTCATCCTTCGTTTGACTATCTCTGCTGCATAGTCAAAGTCATGTGAGTAATAAGGTCAGCCCTAACTTGTATCTTGCCCATACTTCCTGTACTTAACAGTTGAGATGCAAAATATTAAAAATCATTTTTCCTTTTGTAAAAAAGAAGACTTCAGAAGGGTTTCTATATCCCAAAGCCTAGGCAGCATATTTTGTTGATATCAGCAATTAATGTTGAATAGGTAAGAGGTGAGAGCCTGTGTACGGAAGTTGAAACCTTGACGTGGGGTGCAGTTGGGGCGTATGGGCAGTGAAGGGAGGGAGTGATACTGACATCGTGCGGACGCTATGAAACTGGTTTCTGGAATTGTTGTTGTTTGGTACTCCCTTGGGGAGACATTATTAATTGCCTATTAATACAGATACTTTTCCCTTTCTTCTTGCAATCAGAATCCTATGCAATAAATCCTAATTAGTTAAGCCAATTATGATCATAGTATCACTCTTTTCTAGCCTCCCCTGCTGCCAGGGATGGCCAGGGCACCTTGTCTTGGCCAATGAGCTATAAGGGAAAATCTGATGGGGAGTTTCTGGGGAAATACTGGCTTTCCTGATAAAAAGGAACAGACATGCCTGACATCATTCCTATATCTTTCTTTGTGCCTCACTGAAAACACGAGGCCTAAAGTTGTAGGAGCCACTTGGACCCTGAAGTAGGCAGCGGGAGAAAACGCCAAGAGAATTGCAGAGACATTGGACCCGACCTGGCCATGGCAGCTGCCTGCCTCTTGGTTCTTTGTTAGGAGAAAAATAAACCTCTGCTAGCTCAGAGGAAACATCTCTGTGAATTTTAAAAAGATATCCTTTGGTGGATGATATTACTGAATCAATGTTAATTTTCTTGGGTGTGATAATGATATTATGGTTCTATAGGTGATATTTTTATTCTTAGGAGATACATACTCAAGTCTTTAGGGGTAAAGTCAATGATGTCTGCAACTTACTTTCAATTGGTTCAGAAAAAAAGTGGATAGATGAGGATAAAGCAAATATGACAAATTATTAATAACTGGTGCATTTAGGTGAAGGTACAGTGCACAGATATTTAAGTCTTTCAACTTGTGTTTGCTTGAAAACCTCTAAAATAAAAGGTAGAGGGAAATAAGACACTCTTTTCTCAAGATACTTCTCCTAGTTAGAAAAATTTCATAATATACTGATTATATTAGAACAAAACACTTTTGTGCCTTCTGCCATAATTGTCATAACAATACAAATCACCCGTCGTTAGAGTCAACAAACTTACAATTAAAACTGGGAATGATCCTCAAAGAAATAAAGCTGTCTAGGATGTGCATGGCATCCTCTTATGCATATCCTACTTGTGCAGTGCACAACCTAAACCCAGAGCCCTGCCTATTTGTTTAAGCCACTTTAAATGAGGTATGTCACTCTCAGCTGCAAGCACTCCTAACATGTGTGCACATTCCTGCATTGTAGAGACTAAGACACACAGCTTTTTATTCCTTAGCCAAAATAAGTGTCTGGCAAGAAGACTTTTAGAAACATTCCCTTTATAAAACAACTTACCAAAAACAGTTTACCCTTTCCTGTGAATAATCAAACTGTACAGCTGAACATTCTGTTAGGTCTAGGATCCGAATTGGTTCTGGAGACTAAAAAAAAAACAAAAACAAAAAAACCTATGTCAGCATAAAAAACCACACGAATCTGTCCATCATTGATCTCCCTAACAAATCTTTTACTAGGTGCAACTGTCAATTTCCTTTCACAAAGAGGACCTATAACAGAAGAGACTAACGGAAGTCCCACACCTCCTGGGTTTGGAATTAGCCTTGATGAGACTGGGAATTAAGAGACTGTCTTTAACAATTTATATTTCATGAAGATGGACCTTAAAACAGGAGAGTCATATTTTTCTCACATTTTTTTAAAACTTCTACTTTTTCAGAAATTTTGTATAAGGAAAACAAAAACAAATCATTTTAAATTGGCTTAATAAAATGGGCTTGATAAAATGGGCATACTGATTTTTAATAAAGGGGGAAATTACTGCAGAGAGACAGTTAATAAACTGTGGTGAGAGAACAATTCTACCTCCATGACCTGAAGGAATTATGGGCCTTGAGGAGCTTCTGGCAAACACGTCTCATCTTTGCAAAAGAATTCTGCTCACATGGGGAATCAAGAACTCGTATCTCCAATCATTTGTTGGGTGTTTCAGGTGGACATAAAGAGAATTTCAGAGATTTTAAGGGAAGATATTTCTTTCATTCAGAGAGTTGATTTTTAAAAGGAAAATGTATTGTCATGTTTCTCACCATCTGGTCTTTGAAGTATTTCAGTTCATTTCTATGCAAAGTGAACCATCTTGTTTTCCAGGTCTGAGAAAAAAATAAGAATAATTAAAACACACAGATTTCGGATACAGGAATGTAATATTTAAACTAGATGATTTACTTTCATTTTTTAAAAAAATCTAAAAAATTTGATACAATATGCCTGAAAAAGTTCTTGTGACTAATTTCTGAGAAATAGGTTTCAAAATATCTACAAAAATTAAAGTAATTTCATACATTAAGCTCACAATGAAGGCAGAGGTATCATTAGTATATTTTTTAAATAAAAAGAAGGAGGCTATCATAAATATTCAAGGTGATTTATAATAAACCACTAAAATTTCCATTTTATTAACTCTATAATAAAAATAAATATTGTTTTTGAGCACTTATATGGACCACATAGTATCCTTGGAGGCTGATATGTGTTATAGCCAATCCTCATACAAAAATATCAAATATTCTTTTTTTTTTGAGACAGAGTCTCACTCTGTTGCCCAGGCTACAGTGCCATGGTGTCAGCCTCGCTCACAGCAACTGCAAACTCCTGGGCTCAAGCGATCCTCCTGCCTCAGCCTCCCGAGTAGCTGGGACTACAGGCATGCGCCACCATGCCCAGCTAATTTTTTCTATATATTTTTAGTTGTCCAGCTAATTTCTTTCTATTTTTAGTAGAGATAGGGTCTCACTCTTGCTCAGGCTGGTCTCGAATTCCCGACCTCAATGGATCCTCCCGCCTCGGCCTCCCAGAGTACTAGGATTATAGGCATGAGCCACCGAGCCTGGCCAAATATTATTATTCTTGTATTACAAATAGGTGAATTGAGATTTCGGAACCTTGAACCACACAATATTTTAAACCTTGCCCAGGAATTCCATGGCATTGGTGGTAAAAACTGTTGTTGAGCCCTGTTACCTTCTTATGTACGAACAGAACCCTAATCTACCCTGGGTGGCAACGTGCCCAGTTAAAAGAAGGAACGGAGGATCAGAGGATTTAAAAATAAGTATGCTGTGAGTGTGAATTATCTCTGTCCTCAGCAGCCATCCAGTCTAGCAGGGACTCAAACAATAAAATGATCAGGTTCACTGTGAGCAGGCTGGTCCCTGGGAGAGATCAAGCACCCTGGCTCTTAAAATAGGAAGGAGCAGACATAGTCCATGAAGGCCTTCCTGGCACACTGAAGTAGAGGAACTTTAAAGGTCCAATCACATAAATGGGGAACAGTTGGATACCCTGAACGTATAAAGTCCTAAATTATGTTGTTTTGTGGATGTCATTAGTGCCAGTGACATTTTTGGTCTACCTTTAGGTAAACATTTTATACAATTCTGACGTCTTCTTCTTTGTTTATAAAAAAAGAAAAGGAAAGAAAAGAAATGTTCTAGAGTTAATTTGCTACCTTCTCCTCAATCATTCCATTAAAAGAATTTGAGGTTTTTTTGAGTATTAACTACATGGTACATTTATGCAGGGCTTTGCCAAAGAATAGTTGAGTCATTTTCCAGAATGTTGACTAATAAGCCATAAAAGTGAACTCTTGAGACAGGTAGATACTGTAAGTGGGTCAAAATGGGCAGGGAATTGTGCTTAAAAGAAAAAACACAGAAATGGGAATTGCATCTACACGCCCGCGCTTGCTGTCTGTGGCCGGCGTGAGCAAGCCACGCGTGCTTACCTTGACCAGGCCCCCCTGCTTGGTGAGGTAGCCTTCCTTGGTGCCCAGCTGAAAAAGAAAAGCACCCAGTGAAGCCAGAGCCATCACAACATGACGTTTGTCTTTCTATTTCTGACCTGGTTGAAAATGAAGAACAAGTTTGCCTTTGATTTTTAAATGGCCGTCTTTCACTTTTCACTGAGGCACTTGAAAATCTTCTATGTGCTCTTTTTAAGAAAAAAAAAAAAAATAGAGATGGGGTCTCGCTCTTGCTCAGGCTGGTCTCGAACTCCTGAGCTCAAAGGATCCACCTGCCTCGTGCTGGGATTCCAGGCGTGAGCCACCTCGCCCGGCCTGAGAGAGTTTGCAGACTGGATCCACCGGTGTGACTCCATGGCAACAGGAAGCACCCTCAAGGCTCTCTACTAACTCCAGCTAGTGATTTGCAAACAATGAAGCCCATCGTTGCACTTATAAAAGTCTGTGTTTGTCAAAGCGTGTTATGTGGGATCCAGCTGCTCGGACCGTTGCAGAAGTGTCAGCACATGCACACGCACGCGCACGTCTGTGGTCAATACATTTGGGAAACTGGATTAAGAAAAATAGAAGCATTTCTTTACTTCAGAAATCCCAGACTCTGTACTACGCTAAGATGCTTTGGGAATTTTTAAGAGGGATGTTTATAAAAACATCATTTCCAACACTCATTTTATCACACACTCCTCCTCCCTGTCCCCAACACCACCGCCCCTTTATTTTGGTCACAGACTCTCCTTTGAGACCCACGTTCCATGAAACAGGCTGTCAGGAGCACGGATTTGTTTACAGCCGATTTACCAACAGAGATTTGAAATGAGAATGACTTCTCTGAACCCACGTATCATTAATTCAAAGAGAACGACACACTTAGCTAGCACCTGTGAAAAACAAGGGATGGTGGGGAATTGTATGAATCGAAATTTGCAGAAGACAAGAACCTAACATCAAGAAATTGCACTCCCGGTAGGGTATTTTGTTCTAATGTGATATTATAATATGTCTTAATAAGAACAAAGTTAATAAACGTTAACTGGGAAATGTTTATTAAAACTGGGAAATGACTTGGTTGACACCATTTTGTGGCAGTTTGCAGGGTACTTTGTCCCGAGGTGGCTTCTCGCTACCAGATAAAAAGAGGCACCACCACAGTAAAAAGAGTTCAAGCAAGAAATAATGTACAACCATTTCTTTTAAAATTCACATGGCATAAAAGGATAAACTACTCAAATGTTCGTTCAAATAATGTTAAACAATATTAATGAATTTGATATCCTATAATCAGTTTGATTTATTTGATGTTAAAGAAATTCAACCAACTGAATTGAGTTTAGGTATTATATTATGGAATGGCCAAAATTAACATTTTTGGGTTGTTGCAGGTTAATGTTTATACAGACAAAATAATTAAAGGCAAATTATTATATAAAAGGACCTGGTAGAATTATTCATTGAAACTGAGCTAAGGAATAACACTACTCTCTCCATATTACCCCCTTCCAAAATACTATCAGTATTTTTCTAAGGTTTTGACAGATAAATGGAGGCCTGCAAAGGCAAAAGCTGAGAATATTAATTTTACTCAAGGTTTAAGAAATTAAATGATTATGTAGCAGATTTATCTTTAAAAATATCTGTGATCTGTAACAGGAAAGATGTTAGCTGGCCTTTATGTTTCAGAAGGGTCAAAGTCATGAAATTAAGGAGAAACTGAGGAAGTGTCCCAGAGAGAACACTCCAGAGACAGGACAAACAGGGCAGCTGGGGATTGGGGATTGGGTCTTTTTGCTCTAAAAGGACCTTCCTGGGAAAACTAGAGAAACTTGGGCGAGACCTGTGCCCGAGACAGTGACGCAGGGTCAGCGTTACTTTCCTAGTTGGGACGGTTCCGCGTGGTCACTCAGCAGGGGCCTGGTTTCTGGGAAACACACACAGAAGTTATTCAGCGTGACGGGGCATCAGGTAGCAATTTCCTCTCAGCTCACTCAGGAAAAGCAACGTTCTTTGCGCTATTCTTGTAAGGATTCTGCAACTTTGAGAGTATTTCAAATAAAAAAGTTGCATGTAAAAATATAATAGAGGATTAACTAAATAAGCTGAGACAGCCAAATACTGGAATGTATTTAATGATGTTTTAGAAAACTATGCCACGACCTGGATGACATAACCTATAATTAATTAAACAGGCATATTATAACTCTATCTACAATGCAGAACTCACCTATGTCTATGTACGTGTGCATATATACATGCATATATTCAAGAAAAAGATTAGAAAGATAAACACCAACATGTTAAGCGAGAAGGGCTTCAAGAACAAAATACTGAAAAGGGCCAATACGCAAGGAAGGTGTCCAAGAAGAGGAACTGTAAAATGTGTTGAAGATTACAGAATAAAGAGAGAAAGACGTTGCAGAAGCAAAGGAAATAGAATTTTTAGAAAGAGGGAGTTGTTAAAAGTGTCAAATACCACAAAGGGGAAGCTGAGGAAACTGACATTTTAGATAGGACTTATTCTGTGTCAGGAACTTGAAACCTATTATTTCATGTAATGTCTGCTAATCTAACTGATTGGCGTTTCACATTTAACGTGTCCACAACAGAAGTCCTCCTTCCCGTCCCCAAACCCGTCTCAGGAAATGGGAGGACCCTGTTCCTCTTCTCTCTGGTACCACATTCAATCCTCCTGTCAGTCTGGTCGCTTCTACCTTCAAGGCAAGGAGTTCACCAGTTCTTACCCCTTCCCTACACTTTAACTGCCAGTGCTTAACCCTTCTGTCTGGGTTTAACTACCACCTCTTACCAAGACTACCACAACTAACTAGTCTCCTAAATAGTGTTTTTGCCTCCAACTTTGCCCTCTCTCTGTTTACCACTTAGCAGTCCACAAGCATCTTTTTAAAGATTTAAAAACTTACTCAAAATTCTCTTCTAATTTCTTTTCTTTTTTTTTCTCTCTTTTTAATTTACTTTTTTGAGACAGAGTCTCACTCTGTTCCCCGGGCTAGAGTACTGTGGTGTCAGCCTCGCTCACAGCAACCTCAAACTCCTGGGCTCAAGCGATCCTCCTGCCTCAGCCTCCCCAGTAGCTGGGACTACAGGTACACACCACCATGCCCGGTTAATTTTTTCTATATATTTTTAGTTTGCCAATTAATTTCTTTCTATTTTTAGTAGAGACGGGGTCTCGCTCTTGCTCAGGCTGGTTTTGAACTCCTGACCTTGAGCAATCTGCCCGCCTCGGCCTCCCAGAGTGCTAGGATTACAGGCCTGAGCCACCACGCCCGGCCCTAAAAATTCTCTTCTAATTTCTTATCAACACTTAGCACAAAAATTAATTCTTTACCTTTGCTACCAGATCTTTCCTGTTATGTAAAGTAGGTGCTGGGCACGTTTTCCCGGGACCTCTTGGGGCCATGTACTCCAGGCCAGTCACACACATGTGGCTCAGAATAACCCTCTTTATGTTATTTTACAGAGTTAGGGTTTTTTTCCATTAACAGTTGAAACCTTTATCCCCAATGTCACCCTATTTGGAGATAGGCCCTTTAACAAGGTGATTAAGTTTAAAAGAGGTCATAAGAGTAGCTCCCTAATGAAAAAAAAAAAGAAGAAGAAGAAGAAGAGGAAGGAAGAAGGCACAATTGATATTTGGGGCGGGATCATTCTTCAACATGCATTGCAGGATATTTAGCTGGCATGACCCTGAAACAACTGGGAATTGGGAAATAATCTTTATGGGTGTCTTGTGTCTCTACGTGCCTTACGACCAAGGCACTTACAGCATTTTGTTGCAAATGAATTTTTAAGGCATGTTTGTATAACAAAGCCTTGGAAGACAGAAATAAGGTCTCTCTCTAGAGTAAATGGCGGACATGCCAACCGCCCACTGTAGAAGATTTGGGTTCCTCTCCTGTAACAACCCACTGTGGGTGTCACCTGGCCTTCTCAGTGTCGCCCTGTGGGCCTTGTGACTCGGCACAAATTCTAACACTCTGGCTCCTCCAATTGCTGTGAGTAACAAAGGATCCTTCATCTCTGACCCAGAGTCACGGCCCTGTGACACTGGCAGTCTAACTTGCAAGTAGAATGAATCCTCAGACTCTGTGTGGTTCTTGACATCCAGGAATGCTAGCAGGGCCCCAGAGCATTTCGCTGACTAGAACATTCTCATGAATGTCTAAACACTCAGCCGGAAGGCACTGCTCTTTGAGAACCCCATCGCCTTCCAGGATCTGGCTGGGCATTACCTCAATAATCTTGTCTTCCACCACTTTCCCTCTAGCTCATCCTGACCCCCTTTCTGGCCTTCGAGACACCTGAGTTTAGTTCCCACCTCGGGGTTCCTGTGCTACTTTCTCTGCCTGCAGACTTTCCCACATCTTGACATGACTCGCTCCTTCCCGTCAGCGAAGTCTCTGATCAGATGTTACTCCTGCCCTGCTTCCCTCCTTGCCTCGTAGTCTACTTTTGTGTTTATGACTTATTACTATCTGATATCATGTTATTAATGACATTGATTATTGTCTGTGACCCCCCACTAGACTGTGAGCTCAGGGAGGGCAGAGCCTTTGCCTAATTTACTGCCAAACTCCCAGTGCTTAAAAACAATGCTGATTGCAGCATAGGCACTTTTTTTAAAAGTTTATATAATAAATTAGTTGGGGTGGACATGGTGGCTCACGCCTGTAATCCTAGCCATTTCAGGAGGCTGAGGGGGGAGGATCGCTTGAGGCCAGGAGTTTGAGACCAATCTGGGCAACATAGTGAGACCGACCACATCTCTACAAAAATAAAAATAAAACAATTAGGCAGGCGTGGTGGTGCACACGAGCCTAGGGGTATGGGGTTGCAGCGAGCCTCGAATGTGTCCCTGCCGTCTAGCCCGGGTGACAGAGTGAGGCCCTATCTCAAAAGAAATAAATGTAATCCTGTCTCAGGAACTCAATGCTGTGTTGCTCATACAACATATAAATGGTAATTCCCCAAAACGTAGTTGCCAAAGAATGGCAAACAGTTTTGCACAACCCTCT